TGTTTTAGTTTTGGACGTGTTGTGAAGTGTTAATTTGAATAGACTTTGATTATAACTAGAGATCATAATAACAATTTAACATGGTGAGCTGCAAGCTTTGCAAATCGTGGAGTGCTTGCAAGGAATCTGTGAAAAAAATCTTGCATTTCATAGTAAGTAACAGAAACTTACTTTCTGATATTGGTATTAAAATTTTATTTTAGTATATTTCTATAAAATGTATCATACATTTGTTCTTAGATGCCCTAAAAACAAAGAGGTTTCTAAAATATGGATAGAACTCGTGGAATCTCAGTTGAGTTAACGCATTTCTACTAGACGAGTGATTTTATGTTCGAGACATTGTGAAGAAAACTGTTTCAGTAGAAGTTCGTCGAAGAAGATAATTCTACATCCGAACTCAGTTCCTACTACACCTTTCAATTATGTGGAAAGAGTACGTTACAATTTTAAATAGATACGTATATGATATAAGGCAATTTATTATTTGCAGTTAGAACAGTGTACTTACTTTGCAAGAATCAAATAAACAAAACAATAGTAGTTCACAATTTGAAAGTCAAGCTGAAATTGGCACGTCGGATGAAGCAGACTTGGTTTTTGAAGTTACTAAAATAACAGAGAAAATAAATAATTTTACTTTAACTACCAGTGAAATATTAAGATTGAAAGATAAAATATCTGAATTACAAAAAAACATCGCATGCCAAAATAAATTAATACGTATTTTACATCGTAGAAATGTACGCAAAGATATTCGTCTTGACAATTTGAAGAAGAAAATTAACCATTTGAGCAAAGAATCTGTCAATGCGACAAAACTCAATGCTATGGATTTTAGGAAAAATGAAGAACTCAACCGAAGCAGTATGGACAAGAGATAAGAAAGTTTGGCATTACCTTACATTTTTATTCGCTAAAAGTTTATATTTTTGTCCGAGAGAAGTTATAAAAAGCCTTGCCGCATGTTAAAACTCTCGCGTCATGGTATGCTTCTGTTGATGGTTCACCAGGGTTCACTAAAGACATTTTCAATATTTTAATGCTAAAATGCGATTACCAGCAGGTGGCTCTTTATCATTTGATGAGGTTGCAATTCGCCAACATTTAGAATTCGATGGGAAAAATACATATGGATACGTTGATATGGGGGTTGAAGAAAAGGTTGCCAAACATGCGTTTGTATTTATGTTGATTGCAATTAATCAGCAGTGGAAAGTTCCTCTGGGTAACTTTTTAATAAATCCGCTGTGCGCAACACAAAAAGAGTACTATTAGAATACTAACCCCTCACACATGATCAAATTCGTCCGAAATGCATTTGGAGAAAAAGACAATTATTGGATGAGAATGGTGATTTAATAGATTTTAAATATTTGCAATTGTTAAATGTATTGCAAGAAGATGAAGGTCTCCACCTTGGAAATAAATTGCGGCGTAAGCGCGTCAAGTTCTTTTAAGAAAAAATGAAAGTTTCTTTAGCTACACAGCTTTTAAGTAAATCTGTGGCAGATTCGTTATTATTTTGTAAAGATAAATTACTAATAGATGATTTCAGATATTGTGGAGCTACAATTAAATTCGTTCTAATTCTGAATGAAGCTTTTGATATTTTAAATTCGAGAAGCCAACGTGATTTTGATTTGAAATAAGCTGCTAATTTTCAGAATATAAAAAAATTATAAGTTTATATGAAAGTTTTAAGAATTATATTGGGCATTTAAGATTTGTTTACAATAATAAATGAGTTTTAAATTCAGGTCGTAAAACTGGTTTCATTGAATTGATCATTGGTCTACATTCTGTAATTGATATTTACAAAAAATGTGCGGATCCAGAAACTAACACACCATTTTTAATATATCTTCCTGTTTTTAAATGTAGCCAGAATCACTTGGAAAGTTTTTTTGGTTCTATACGTTGTCAAGGAGGCTGCAATGACAACCCCAGGTATTGTCGTCAGAAGTTAGGCACAGGGGCATTGGAAATTGTCTACCATTAGAAGATATTCAATATTCTTAGTTGCTCTTCTTCAAAACAAAAACATGTTCGAACCTTATCAGGCGTAATGGTGGAAGAAGAAATTGATGAATTATTTAGTGAACATCATTATGTGTGTGGCGGCACAACAATACGTAGTAGTAAGCGAAGAAAGATAAGCTCCTCCGTAGTCTAGTGGCATGGGCACCCGCCCGGCAAGCGGTAAACGTGCGGAGAAGCAACATTTTTCTTCGCTTGCCTACACATGTTTGATGAAGAAATATTGTCTAATTTTGCAGAAGAAGTAGTAATTTACATAGCAGGTTTTGTTGCACATAGATTATGAGCTTTACTGAATTGTGAAACGTGTGTAGAAAGCTTATTTGGCGCAAAGGAAAATTTAATTGGGAATTTAATTGACACGTGGTGGACTATGCTATCCCAGGAATTCCTTAATTACTACATGTAGATATAGCGAAAAATAATTTCAAATATCATTTAAAATATGTAACGACAAAATTATTAAACCAAAAATAGTTTCCCACAAACTAGAGCATTATCCTGCAGTATCAAATTTTGACTAAAATGAACATGTCCACAAATATTCTCTTCTTCGGGAAATAATCAACGTTTATTTAAATTTAAGAACAAAACATCATTATAAACATAAAAACTTCTCTAAAGAAGAGCCAAGAATAAGAAGTAGTTTAACTAAATTGATTCATTTTAAAGAGCAATAATTAATTCTTTCTCCATCCCTTTAAATACGCATTAATTTCATTTTATTTAATTTAAAATATTTCAGTTTAAATAAACAATTTTATTTTCGTCGCAATATTATGTTGGTGGCTGAATGACGACTAAAAGTCCTAGTTTATACTTTTTTTACAAAAGAAAAATGTTTTCCCCGCGCTTACGAATTTAAATGTTTTTTCTGATTATTACTATTGTTAGATTCCTCTCATATAATGAGAACTCTTATTTATTTTTGGATGTTGTCGTGTGCTTATTTATTCCAACAGTATGTAGTTGTTAAATAATCGGCTCTAGTTTAGCTAAATATTGAGCAACGACCATTATAATACATATATTTTATTTTATTTTTACTTTCACTCATTTTGTATAATTCTTGTAGAATATAAACAAAATAAAATTATATTATTATTATTAGTATTATATTATACTTTTTTTTGTTTTGGTACCTGTGTATTTTGTTGTATTTGTAAATAAACAAAAGTTTCAGTTTGTGTTTGTCAATCACATTATTATTTGAGCCTATCCGCCTACCAGAAAAAATGTGTTGTTCTGCCACTGGTTACGACTAGAGGGTGGAGCTTAGCACGGAGCGCATTTCAAGTAGAGTCATAAACGGTGCCTGAGTCTGTGTCACAAAATTCACAACACCTTCCCTCCGGTCTCTTCTACCTCCGTGGCAATTAGGCAGTTATAAAGTAGACTCAAATAACGTTATTTTCTGCGAAACACACTTATATCTAAGTTTTATGTACATGCCTTAAAAAGAAACAAAAAGACAAAAAACTTAAAGTCCGGGCCCTACGCATAACAAACACACGTATTTTTAGTACTTGTAAAGATAAGACTGATTTTGGCAAATGACATACCTTCCAAAAAAAGACTGGGTGGGTGGGCGGGGCTAGTATTTGTAAAGATAAGACTGATTTTGGCAAATGACATACCTTCTAAAAAAAAGTAGGCGGGTGGGGGGGGATAGTATTTGTAAAGGTAAGACTGATGTTGGCAAATGATATACCCTTTAAGAAAATAGAGGGCGGGTGGGCGGGGCTTGTACTTGTAAAGATAAGTATAATTTTGGCAAATAATATACCCTCTAAGAAAATCAACTTTCTACTACATCATTTCCAGTTTTCATGTGGTTCTAGCACTTAGCGCTTCATTATTATTATCAGATGTAAACTCTGTTTTCAAAACGAATTTTAAACCGTTTGTGTTAATTTTCTGTGAAGCTTGAAAAAATCAAGACATCGATAAGTTTTATACCTAGCTAAAGATGTCCGTTGTAACGACTTAAAAAATTAACCTTATCTTATTAGACAGTACTTCTCTCGCCGCTGAAGTACAATTAAATAAATTCAGTTATTTAGAAAAAACAATATAGATAATACTTTCACGCACACTCCGCCACTGCTTTGATTCGAACGCATTACGTTACGAAACGACACCCTGTTGACTAAATATTTTGAACTATAATATTCAGAATAAAAAAAATGTTCTAACGTTATCTATCTAACTTTTTCGAAAATTCATAAAATTTGATTTTGGAATTCTATTTTTTTCATCATTTAAACATCATTTGTTTCATAATCAGTTAGAGAGTCTTTTGTTCTCGTCCTTTTCTTGGGCGTATTTTCATTACTTTCAGAAGTGCCCGTGATATCTGCAGTACTCTCTTCATCTTCAACTAATACAGGCTGCATAACTTTTTCGTCCTACGCCAACAATTTTTCCGGATTCCAGGACATTATCAATTTTTGTTGCTTCCTCTGTGTATAATTTCTTTTTTGCTTTTTTTTTGTATTCACTGATTGTTTTCGTTTCATGAAACAAAATATTTGTCCGGCCAACAATCCTTTGCTTTGCAACGTCACACAGACTTTTCCTTGTTAATATGCAACAGAGACAAAAACTCGAAAATTTTACATCAGGTTTCGGGCTACCAATATAATAACGCATTTGTTTTTAATTCGTCTTTGGAATGAATGACATGGATAGTACAGGACTGGTTCAGGTATGGTGTAATTATTTACAAATGCTGGTTTGCTTTATTACTTGCTTCGTATTACCCTAACTTTAACAACAGTCATATAATCTTACAGGATTTGCAAATCTCTAACAATTTTACTATTACTATAACGCTAATAAGTAGGTATTTGTGTATTAATTCAAGATATTTAAATAAAAATCAATATCGAAAGTATACAATTTTGATGAAAGAATTTATCTTTGCACTAACCCAAAATACAAATTTTTATGTTTTAGGCGCTGAAATACAAATATGAGGAAAATTTATGACGATAACATGCAAAGAATTGAATAGGACGTTTTTATTACCTGGAAAATGATAAATGTTGACAGCACTTTGAAATCGTATGAACTTACCGCTAAAAAAAGTGGAAAAGAAAGAACGCCGAATGGACCAGCTCTAATCTGCAACGCTCTTTGTGAACGCATCAGCATAAATATAACATCTTTTTTTAAACGTATATCGGCTTGATACCATTTAGAATTCCATAAAGCGTTTGGAATAATTTCACTCTTTAAAATAACAGAAAAACGTACCTAATGTACACATGATACACAAAAATTTGAAAAAACACTTACAGCATCAAGAAAATCTTGTCCTCCAACACAGGCCACAAACAAAGCCATAATCCATCCCAAAACGTGAAAAACAGCTCCAATAACATTAATTTTCTGAAATGAAAATGATTACCTTTTAATCGGTACAAATACCGCGAAAAGCGTAATTACATCGAGAATTTGCTTTTCCAGGCAGGCACAAATAGCACCCGTTAAAAGAAAGTGACCAAACATGCACTGAAAAAAAGCGGTATCTAATCTTGAAGCGAACCTAAAAACTTTAATTACAAAAGCTTAAAATAGTATAACAATGGAACGTACTCCAATATCTCGGTGTGGTACGTAATACAAATTTTTAACTTTCTTTGGCTCACTGCGTACCTTTTGTCATCAAAACATTCTTCAACCATAGTTTTCAAGTGCTTAATTCTTAGTATGATATGATGCGCTATTTCGAAAGTGTTTAGAGAGATATGCAAGCACATTTTTAGCACCGAGTGCATAATAAATGTCGCTAGTAGAGAAAATAGCTGAAAAACAGGAAAATAGTCTATATCAAAGGGAATCCAAAATGGCGCTATTAAGCCACAATTGTTTTCTTTCATGCCTTTCTCGAAACTAATTCTTTTACATTCTGGTTTTTCTGATAGCTTCAGACCAGTGTAGAATATGGTGGCCCCTAGAGTGTAACTGAATAACAACTGCACTCCTAAGTTTAAATTTTTGTTTCGTTTGTCAAAATTTGGAGGAACCCCAAATTTTTTAAAGTCAGATAAATCTCGCATCAAAGATGCAATATTTTGTTGATTTTTTACAAAGGCGTATACCATATAGGTGCATCCACCGACGGCTATTACGGCAGCAAGTTCTTCAGTGATGGTAAATTCTGAGTGTTCTATAACATAGCAAAATATTATATATAACATAGGTACTATATCAGAAACATACTTATAGCTAGTAAATATGCGTGCGTACTAAGAGAAAATAATAGGACACCACAAATTATAAAAAAGATTATAACTTTAATTGTATAACTTATTCCAGGACTCAATTCGTTTCCTTCAGATGGCCAGACTAAACTGTATCGAAAAATTTTACGACTTGTTTGACATATTGCAATTTTTGGCTCTGCAGGCATCATTTATTTTCTAGGAAAACCATTGAAACACTCAAATTCTGAAAAAAATTGCGGTTACACTAATCTGCATTATTTGTTTTGTACATTAGGTATATGTCACGTACTTACATTGTAAATTGCACTTCTGAAAATATAGAGTATATAGAAATTTCCAGTGGTCAACAATAATGAAGATATTAGAAATTTCAGCTAGTAATTGTTTCTTCAGTAAATGTTGTAATTTTCCAAGAAAATACAATTGTTGTGGGATTTTATTTATATTCTATGAATACATCTTGGTTCTTCCAAAGAAGACGTAAGACTAAAATGAATCATCTTAGTTTCTCTATACTAAGGAAATTGATTATTCCTTGATATTTGAAAGCTTGGCTACGTAATTCTTTCATGTTCGTGACATGTAATTCTTAACATCGTCTTGTTGGAATATTATAAAGGAATGGTTACTTTTATTTCGTACAATGTAGTAGCCAGTTATTAGTTTCTTTTAGTTTTATTTTATTCATATGTTTTACAATATATGCGTCTAATTTAAATTCACAGTCATAAATCGATTATTGCGGGAACTAATAAATCATGTAAGGCATCAGGATAAAGCCACAACACGTCTGAAATATGTTGTTCATGTTACAATTGCTCTTGATTTTCAGGAATTTTTTATTGGCTATTAATATTACCAGTAAGTTAAATTCTTTTTCAGTAACAGTTTACGTAAGTGATGAGGATTTGTAGGACACAGATTTTCCCAGGATTCGTGTTCCAAGCGACTTTCAAAATTTACTTCAACTTTGTTGATTCCAGGATATGGATTGACTACGATTTCCAAAGTTCGTCTACTAGAATCTATTTGCCGAATACATCGTATCTAAAATGTGCAAAATATGATCAGTCCATACTTGTAATTTATAGATATAGAGTGACTCAAAAAAAATTAATGAATCAGTCAATATATTTTATTGATTAAATCAAGAATTGCGAAACTGAATGCTTTGAAATCTTCTAGACGTTTTAAAGTCATTGTAAGAAAGGTAAAATAAATCTGTTTATTGCCCCCAAAAAATTGACGACGTTATCTCAAAATTTTGCCGAATAAATTCTACCCAAAATATAGTGAGTTTTTACTTGTGATTTATCATTGCACTCACATTTTTTATTGATCAAATTAAGAAAAAGTGAAAATACGAACCTCTTTATTTAATAAAAGTTATAGTAGTGATATTCAGAACATTTTGTCGATTGTACCTTACTACTTAATAGTTTTGATCCTCTGAACTCATTCAAATCAAACTAATTTCCACGTGACGTGCTTCCGATGTATAAACATAAACACTTACAAGTTGTTTTTCTTATCGAGGATAACCTAAGAAAGAAAGAAGTAATGGAGTTCATCGGGCAATTTGGTACTTTCATATTTTCTCGATATTTCGTAACCCCTAGACAAGGCCGTACTTAGGGGGCGTCTAGGGGAGGCTCAGCTCTAGACAAGTTATAATTAACCAAATGTGAATTACAATATCGAAAATCAAAATAGAATGTAGTGTTTTATTCAATAAGCGGAGGTCAAAGCAATAAAAAAGTCTGGACCGTCGGTATTTTAAATAAATAAATAAATAAATAAATAAACTTTATTCACCTTTATATTACAGTTTATAAAATGAACTGAAATAATTAGGCTAGTCAATTTTCAAGTATAACAAAATATCAAATTATAAATTTAATTACACATACATATAATTTCACTGAAATTATGACACATTAATAAATTCGTTAACACTGTAAAAACATTTGTCAAGTGCAAAAATTTTTCACCATCCTTTTCTATATTTTTTGGTGTATAGCTGTACATTTACATAGTTTGAATGTTTTTGTGTTACGTTAAGTCTAGCAAAATTTTGACACAAGTTGTCAGAACTTCTTAAACTATAAGAATGTAATTCATTGTTTTTTACAAATTCAGCTCTTTTACTGAGCAAGATTTGCAAAATAAACAAACTTGGCTGTGTTCAAATTTTATATTTTTTGAATAGCGGTTTGTATGAATAATGGGGTTTGACCCTTTCCATGTACCTAGGTATCTCAATGCTTATTTCTGTATTTTAAAAACGTCGTTACTGCTACTCGATAGTCCCCAAAAACAAGTCCATACATCATGACTGATTGAAATAATCCAAAGTACACGAGCCTCGAAATGTCAAAAAGTATTGTATGCAATAAATCCAAAAATTTCGCTTCACTTTTTGAATTATTGTTTTTCCATTTAATTTTAAAAATTCGTAGTTAATATTTTGAGATATCAACTGAACCCTACAGGTCTTAGCGGTGTTAAGCTTCAACCCATTTGCCGTCGACCAATTCAATATTTCTTTACATGCAATGTTACCATTAGCAACCAACGGATTTGTTGTTATAAAGTTTATTGTATCATCAATTAATTAGCTTTTTTGCTGTTGGACAGTTATCATCAACGAAATTTACAAAAGCTATGAAAAGCAAGGGGCCCAAAGTCGACCCTTGGGGTACGCCCATAGTTATTTTTTTGCTTATGAAATTGTTTTATTGATTACTACTTTTTATTCTCTATTCCTTAAGTAGGATGTTATCCACTTTTTACTGATTCCTCTAACACCCATTTTTTCTAATTTATTAATAAGCAGTTTATGATTTATAGAGTGAAATGCAATACTAAAATCGAAAAATATTGCAGCAATATTATCTTTTTTGTTAAAAGATTCTCCAATAAAGTGTTTAATTGCTGTCATGGTCGATTTATTTTTTCGATAACCATGTTGTGTATTGCTTAACATGTGCTTTCTTTCGAAAAAACTATATATCTAGATGTCATGACTATTCAAACACTTTAGATATTTGACTTTGAATACAAATTGGTCTACAGGAGTTTTTGTCGTCTGGGGATCCTTTATTTTTGTATACTGGTATACACTTTGATTGCTTAAGAATTGTTGGAAATTGTCCTTCGTTAAAACTTAAATTAATCAAATAAGATAAAGGTGTTTTTTGTAACATTTGGCTGCTTTAAGCACTTTACCATTCAGTTCATCCAGACCAGAAGAAAAACTAGTTGTCGCTTTTAATATTAGTTTATCAATTTCTTCTGGTGTGGTTGGTCCAAAGAAAAAAGTTTGATTAGTATTGTATTGGGGTTAATTTAAGTAAGTAATTTAATTTAAATTTTATTATATATAATTTAAAACTATCGGTAGAGCAACTCTTTATAATAATGAATAAACATATTATTTAGTACGAAGTACTACTACTATAGTATTATCTATGGCCAAACGGTATCTTCTATCCACTGGATATAATTTGAGACCCTCACATATACTCCGGGACTACCAGCACAACCTTTCCCGAAGGACGTTACACCCACTATGTCATACATACATGATATTTTGTCACCAATGTGATAGATTTGTAACGGACCTCCAGAATCGCCCTACAATAAAAGAAAGTGTATTAGTACTAACGGCTAAGTTAGACTTCTAAATTGAGGTGCTTATTTAGTACAAAAGTTTAGTCGCATATTGGGGCGAAAGAGAAAATAGGAACAAGAAAGAAAAATGAATTAAAAGCAATCTGTATTGACAAGAATGGTAAATCGGTGAGAATGACTGAGAAATAAAAAGAAGAAAACATGTAAAGCAGAGAAGTTAATCGTAAACACAATGAACCTGTTAGTAAAGCTATTTAATATGTAAATTATTTACCTGGCAGGTGTCTTTTTCTTCTTTCATCGAGCCGGCACAAACTTGGATATCATTCAAAATACCTCTTTTGAGTTTTCTTTGATTCCTGTAGAACTCGTCGCAAACGTTCTGAGTAAAGAGTTCAATAATCACTTTAAGTAAATCGTTGCTGCCTTCACCACCCCAAGACGTTTGACCCCATCCTGTTGCTATGGCCCTTTCAGCTCTAATATTTGGTGACAAATAAAGGCATGCTGGACGTGCGTATGAATTCATTTTAGCTGGTTTTTCTAATCTTAACAATCCAATATCGTGGTAATGAGAATCGGTTCTATAGTCAGGGTGAGCTATTCGGGCAGCTATTCGTATTTGTTGCCTGTTATTGCCATCGGTGAGTTTGCTAACACCGAGTCTTACCCAGGTAGCATTTCCCCTGGAAAATGTCACGTAATGTAATCAATAAAGGTGTTACTTTTTGTAGATTCTACGACAACTGGTCGCAAACAATTGATCGCGCGACAATTGATCGCAAGCAACTCGTCGCAGCACAATTGGTCGCACGCGACAATTGATCGCAGCGACAATTGATTACACGTAAATTGATCGCAGCGACAATAGATCGTACGTAAATTTATCGCAGCGTCAATTGATCGCAAGGTAAAATTCATCGGGAAGTATTTTCTTTTATTAAAACTAAATATTTTGTATTATGAATTTTAAGTTGCAATAAATTTAGCAACCAGGTAAGGTGTAAATATCGAATTAAAAACAATTTGAATATAGATAAGTGACGAAGTTTGTAGTTGCACTCTAAAATTTAAAAAATACGAGCGTAAACATCTTGTTACATAAGATTTTTTATTAATAAATTGTCATTTTGGTTATTTTTTTTAAGAGATTGTTTCTATTTATCTCGTTGCTTATTTTACCTATTAAATATATTATAGGAACTAGCTTCATTATAATAAGTACTCAACATAAAAACAAGTGTTTATTGTTCTTAACTAGATTACAGTTATTTAAAAAATCATATTTTTAACAACCTTTAAATTTTAACATATTTTGATACAGAATTGCCTCTATTGTTCATTCTTGTCTTTATACATATCACCAAACAATAAAATTTATGAACTAATAGTACATCTAGAGTATCAATATGCAGCGAATATAAATTCCACTGGACGGATATAATTCTTATTTTAATTCCTTGTAAATTGCAACGGATCTTTTACAGGGTTTGAGAAAGGTTTACGTGTATTGTAGATATATATTGCAAAAACTTTTGTTAGAGCGTCAAGAATAATTTTGTGTTACCGGGAAATCTAAGAAATGTAGGTACTTATGCAACTAAAAACTTATTTTTTAATTATTATTATGTGACTAGTATTGTACTGAAGAAAAATTCAGTTGTACCATATGTGGGTGTAAAAAATACATAGAGTTAAAATTGATGGATGCCTTAGTAATTCACAAAAGGTCCTAAGTGGGATTCCACAAGGAACAGTTTTAGGCCCCATACTATTCATAGTGTATATCGCCGATCTTACCGTAGAACTTTCCAGTCCTTTCGCTCTATTCGCTGACGACTTGAAATTGTATAATACCTCGAAGAATAATAATGTTTTAAAGGCGGATTTAATAACACTTTATGTATGGACGCAAAAATGGCTTATGCCCTTCAATATGAAAAAATGTTGTGTACTTCATCTAGGTAGGAACAATCCCAAAATGCAATATAATCTTGGTGGCCACGTTTTGCAGTGTGTATCGTCGCAGATTGACTTGGGCATCACCATTACAGAAGATTTGTCCTGGTCTTCTCACATCTTATCTGTTGTCAAAAAAGCTAACTCCATTGGGTATTTGATAAGAAAAGCTTTCCCCTGTGCCCCCATCGAAATTATCGCAAAACTGCACAAGACATATGTACGCCCAATACTAGAATACGCCAATTCAGTTTGGCATCCAATTCTTGTTAGGGACAAACAGCTGCTGGAGTCCGTTCAACGTCGCATCACCCGTATTCCTTTTAGTTTTCATCGTCCTAGCTATGAAGATCGTCTTAAGATAATGAAATTACCGACAATTGAACACCGTAAAGTTAGAGGAGATGTTATCACGACTTTCAAAATATTATCGCAACTCGATTCGCCTATTCGCCATCTTTTTTCAACATCTGCTGATCCAAGAACACGAGGGCATCGACTAAAGCTACGTAAATATGCTTCCAAAACAAGAATGAGACAATTCTTCCTCCCGGAGCGGGTTTTCGGTATTTGAAACTCTCTATCTCCAAATATAATCGAAAGTTCTTCTTTAATCAGTTTCAAGATAGCACTAGATACCTGATTCGTCGGTCATCATAACTGATAATACATAGGATGTAAATAAAATTAATTTGTAACAACTGTCCCTTGGGCATAACAGGCTCCAGCCTCTGCCTTATTTCATTTTTAAATAAATAAATAAATATATAAAAGTATTCACTGTTTGTATTACTTGTTACTCGTGATGTGTTGATTGATTTAAATATTTTAAATAATATTAATTAATGGAGAATATAAATCTGTTATGTGCGTTGCTTTATTCAACAAATTTTATTCCATGAGCTGCATCAAAAAAAAAAAAAACTGTACGTCACTGTCATCGGCAGTCTTATCTGGGTAATGAGGGGTACTGTTTATGACACTTTACCGGTTTGGCTCGAAACCATCATTTTAAGTCTGGCACTTCCTCCAGTATGAGTATATTCCTTTGCTCCATGGTCAAAACTAATCTTTTTACGATCTTGTTTACAGAAATGGCGTAAAAGTGGAGATTGGTATGTAGGTACTTAGCAAAGGGAACGAGATAAATTATTCATTCTGTCGTATCTACAAGCGCCTTATTAACAGTGTGAGCGTTCAAAAAAGTTCTGAATGAAAAAACATCTTTGGTTTTATCATGGATTAAAGATAATCCAGAACTAATTTGTAGTGAGCAAAAAATTGTCTGCAAAGAATGCAATAAATTCCAAGATTAATTGTTAATATATAAATTCAAATTTCTTTGCACCAAATTTATTAAAAAATATATATATTTAATTTTTTAAACTATCAAACGTAATGAAAATAATACTTTTTCACTTAAAACTGCAACGAGAGTTTTTTCACGATTTATCTATAACTTTTTAATTTGACAGTTGTAATAATCTTAAAACCATTTTTTATTAAAGAAAAATGACGTCTAACACGTTTTGAAAGCTATTTTTTTCACTCGTTTAATTGACAAATTTTAAACTTGTGAGAAAAAAACATGAATCACTTACTTGAGCGTCTAATCAATAAGACGAATAATCCAAATGAACATTACAGTAGCATACCGACGAGATGTGTCAGCATTAAAAAAAATATTTTACAATATTTTCACTTTTTTGCACTTTGGTTTAGTCGGAAATGAGCCTAATAGTTACCGTTTTTATGGAACTCGTATGTATTTATTTTGACACTTTTTTTAGAAATAATGAAATTTTTGAGAATATAGCACATTAATTTATTTTCCTCATTCATAACAATTACTTATTTCTCTATAAACGCTATCATTTTTCGCCTGCGATCAATTGTCGCATGCGACCAGTTGTACTTGCGACGAATTGTGTTGCGATCAATTGTGACTGCGACCAGTTGTCGTTGTGACCAGTTGTCGCTGCGACCAATTGACGCTGCGATCAGTTGTTTGCGATCAATTGTCGCGCGACGAATTGTGCACGACGAATTGACGCGGTACCCTTTTTGTATTATTAATATAGTTTTTTGTTAATATTGAAAACATACTATGATTGTAGTGTATGTATTATAGTAAATTTAAAAATATACCGAGTGTAGTATCATTTGAAACCATCTCGTCAACTCGGGTCACTCTACGGTGTACTTACGCATTTATATCACTCAAACAATGTGCAGCTGTTAAGACAAATTTGTTGCTAATGATCGTTCCACCACAGAGCCATTGCAAATCTCCAGGATTTGGTTCGTATCCAACAGCGGCCTATCACAAAACAAATAAGAAATAGTAATCAAACTAAAAGACAACGACAAAATTCTAGTGATTCGTATTTGAGACCATGTACGAGTACCACTGCTAATTAATTTTTAAACTACTTAGGTTTAGAGAGAGAATACTTTATCCTCTACATACCCTTTAGACAGATACAGTTTATCACTTGAAAATGGTGTTATTTGTTAACAAAATAATAATAATCTTATATGAAGCTTAATTCATGGTTCAAAAGTGTCAATGATGATTTTTTTTTTCAAAACTGGTTAAAATATTTGAAAACACCAAGGTTGGTATTCATTAACGCTTATTTAGATTTTCTCACCATGTGTGGAAATTCTTTTCGTCCAGCTGGCTCACCACCTACAATCAATTTGACTACTTTGTGGCCACACTCATTCCTTGTAACTGGTTGTGCGTTAATTAATGGTATCGGTGGTACCTTTGTTTCATACACGTAACGAGCGTATTCTTGACACTCTGAAATAAAAAATGCATAAATATGTATTTTTCTAGTTCTAATTTCTAAAGTCGATACATTCGCAAGTTATTTTATTTAAGAATTAATATTGGTATATTTTACAAAAATTTTGTAAGATAGCAATAGCAACTAAATTTGACAATGTTTTAATTTAACACAGTTGATCTAACTTTTCTATATCTTCATAGGGAGTTTGGAATACCTAACACCAAATATAAATTGCTCTAACTCTTATGTACTTACTTTTTCTACTTATATCGCCTGGTGGTCGACGCGGGGGGATACTTTCCGTCACTGCTTGGCTTTGTGGACAACACACTATTGGTTGATTTCCTTGAAATCCACATCTTTGAGGAAAGCGATTCTGCTGTATTTCCTCTCGTGCTTTATCACAGTCATTCAACAATTTACAGACACCTGGTGATCCAGTTGATTCTAAAGTACATACGTCGCCTAAAAATGTAATATAATGTTAATACGAGTATCTACAATATCATTTTTTTCATTCCATGAGACGGTACAAAGAATAGCTGATCCTTTTTAACCTTTAGATATTTTTAGAGAAAGTGTGTGTGGTGACCAAATTTGAATTAAAACTTCGCGGTGAAAAAAAAACGTCGGCGTGAAATCGGATTTGAATAATTTGAATTCGAAAAAATTTTCATTAAGAAAATCGTTACACATACGCAACCATGTGCAGTTTAGTTGTTTTTTTGGTAGTTGGTAGCTCTTTTAGGGAATTTTCGGGTAGAATCTGGTGAGTCTGAAAAGTGCGATAGAATTCATAATATCTTGGACTGAGAGACCGGGGTATTAAAATTTCTCTCTTAGGTAGTTATCACCATCAGATCATCGAGACGTATTTCTCGCGACGTAGGAAATTACACCACCGAGTGAACATTTAAATGGAATTGGGGTAAATAACACAGGAACGTGTGGCAGAAGCGGAGGGCGCGGTTCCTAGTCGAGCTGGCGGGATTTATCCAGCCATCTGGATAAAAGACGCACGTCCGTAATAACTTGTGTAGTTGCATCCAGTTACTTTAATACAGATTTGTCTTTGTGTTATTAAATTTGTGATTTTCAGATATTTGCATTGGTTCAGAACGTTTAATTGGTTTTCGTTCCAAGTTAGGCAAGTTTTTTTGTAGTTGAGAACTAAGACCTGCACAACTTCGTAGCAGCTTTATTTTCCTTTTTTTTTTTGTCAGTGGAGGAATAAACGTTTTGTGTCGTCCATATATTTTGTGTTTTATTTAGCCGTGCTTTTCCAACCTTGTGGTCCACCACTTTGCATCTGAACGCTTTCCGCCACAAAAAAACAAATACAATGTAGGGTTCCATTTTGACGATCACAGCCAAGGCCAAATTTTTGAATTTTTCAAATTTTCGCGGGTTGTCAAATTTTTTTCAGATGTTATTTTAAGGCGGGATGTTTGTGTTTGCCAAGTGTTTACATTTTTTTTATTTTTTTATACATTTTCTTAATACGAGTGTATTAATGCAGACTCAAGTTTTAATAGACTGACTCAAAGCATAAAAATCAGTTAAGACAGCTTGTCTAATATTCGCTGATAGCCACACTGTTGGAAAGGCTGACGGAAACGTGAGGTATTATTTTTAAATAGTCTAGCTTACCTAGTTTAAGCTAGGAATGTAAGTTTTGTGTCTTAATTTATTGTTACGATTACCTTGTGCAGAGTATCATCCCTTATTTTTTTTTAAAGTTCATGAAAAACAGAACCTATAAACGAAGTTGTAATAATAAAAATCTGTATCTGGAAATTACAATCCATTCATTCATTATATTAAGCCGGCGTGGGCACAATTATGTTATTAGTAAAGTACAATGAACTATTTGAGATAAAAAAGATAATTATTTTGAACATAACAAACTTTACTTTTGATTGTTTCAAAACTGTTTATTAATTTTTTACTTTCCAAGAGGTATTGAATGTCTAATTTTATATTTTCTTGCCGTTTCATTAATCATTCATTAAGTAGTAATTCGATTACACGTAAATCCCGAGGTGCTCCTTTTTGTAGTCGGATTTTTTTTTACCTGTTTACTATGCATTAGTTTTTTCCAACGATATTTCGAAATTTATTACAAGTTGTGTTCCCAGAAACTGACGCAAACGAGTCCGTATGTAACACTAGTAATAAGAATATAATTAATTTGAACTCGTAAATATTTATTTATTTTTCTTTGTAATTCAAGCTTGAGTTGTAAAAAACGAAATTAGGGAGACCACTGTAAATTTTTGTTTGTCTGTAATTTATTTGTTTGTGATCTGTGTGCTGGACTATTCTATGTATTCATCCCATTCAGTAACTGACACCGTTTCGCGATATTACTAAATAAATTCATTTAAAATGTATAGCCTGTCATGCCTATTCAACTTTCCGTATGTGTTTTTTCCAAAAGAAAGTGTCTGTTAAACACTAAAATCATTCTAGAGAAATACATTAAGTTTTTTTTTATTAATTTATTTTATAAACAATCTTTGTTAACACTAAAATTGATAGTTGAATGGTAAACTAACTTTAAATATACGTTCGGCATGAATTTGCTCTAAAAAGTATGAAAAGTTACAATTATATCGAAATTGTGGTTCTAGCAATTTAAATAAAATCGTTTTTGTTTCTTAAAAAATTATTGGTATTTTCAAAGAAAAGGAAAAACCGGCTTTGTTGAAGGTAGGTGCAACGTTTGCGTACACAACAGTTCCACGAATGACGGAGACGTGATGCACTTTGTGTAGATATTTAATTAAACCATGTTTTGGGATTTCATTCCGTAGATTTTTCAAAAATTCATTGTTTAAATAATATTGAAACGAAATTCACGGAAATAAAAAACTTAGGCAGTCTGTAATTAAAAAAGAATTTTTTTTATCAATCACAATACGGTAATTAACAGCAGTTATCAATTTGTCTGTGTATTAAATTTTTAGAACGAATTTTCATAAGACATTAAAATGATATAGGTAACTCGTGGTCAATTGCTACCTTTATCGGTGCGAAATTAACCGCGGTCATGGTCAAGGCATGTGCTGGGGACGCAGTATGAAATGTGGTAAATATTGTTTCCTTCATAAGCGATATGTTTACGTTGCCGATAATGACCTTTCAATTTGTTCTTAATGTCAACTTTCTAGCAATACATTATTCTTACCTACAAATCGTTGACTAGAGGCATAGCCCAGTGAAATTATTGTGAAGACAGCCAACACAAAACTCATGTTTCTCACAGAGGACACCAGGCAGAACTAACACGAGATTCAAGATTGCTTTGACCACACGTAAACAATTTGAGTGGGAAAACTTTTTAGTGACCCATCAGTATGAAAATCAAGAAAATAAACAATTCTTGGAATAATTATAGTCATAACAGTGGCGATACGGTAGAAAGAACTGACCCGTTCAAAATGGACCTCATTGCACATAGTAAATTACTGTGCACGAGAACTAGTTTTTGCCGCGTCCTTCGCTGCAACTGTACGGGTTTTTGATGTACATTGTTTTGTGTTATTATAAATCATAAATTTTTCATTTTTGCGTTTTTAAATAAAATCATTAGTTAATGTAGTTGGGAAGTCCATCATAAATAACCATAAATTAACACTAACCGGTGATCGTTGGTTTTAGAGCGATATTTTTTCACAAGGCTATGTACATCGTTTATTGATACAGGTTTTCTGTTTATAGCCATTTCACAAATTTTGTGATGCGTTATATAAGGGTGTTTCTCTTGAAACTCAAACTATTCCCTTAGCGCTGTTATAATTTTTTTGTTCAATAATGTACGTTAGAGACTGTTATTTGACTTGATATTCTTGAATATACTAAATTTTCAAAAAAGGGGTTAGTCATGAGAAAATTACTTCTGAAAATTATTTTTACGCAACTCAAAATCCGAAGACGGTATACTACTTGATACTAACTGAATTTTTTGTTAAGGTACGAAAGAAATTTTTGGAAAAAATTCAAAGATATGAAAAGAATTTTTTTTTTTGGAACTAGATAGAAGTATAGTTCATTGACTGATTTTGATTGTTAAACAAGTTTTGAATGTGAGTGTTTGAATTACACAATCACCTCTGGGAAATCTCATAAGTCATAAACCCATAACCTTTGTCTAGTACTGCATCACGTGTGGGAATCCCTAGCAATGAACTAGTAAACGACCTCGTAAGAGTAGCTGCAGTCCCTTCTCCTACCTCAGCAGCATTGCAGATTTTCTACACTTCCCATATGAAGTTTTATCGTTCTAAACTCCTAAATCTTTGGCAACACCATCAGGACCGACAGTTTTTTGGTTCAATTAAACTTCAGATTTCAGTGTTTTTAACTGTACTCGTGCTAAAAGTACGATTGGGAAAACACGTTTTAATATTTTTTCTTACTTGAAGTTTCTCAACGTTTTGAGTTAAATCTTACATGTGATTGTCTTAAACTATACTTCTGGACAATTATAGTAAGGATTTTTGCTATTTAAGAAAGAAATTTACCCCAGTTTGAACAGACTACCTTTAGACAATTATTGTATAAGATTATAAATATAAAAGTATTTAACTCAATATTTCTTTTTAACGAATGATAAAACTTATGTATTATTTTTGTTTGTTTGTGTTTATATACTTATTTATGAATAAATAGTAGATACCTATACGGATTAGCGACTGATTGTGACACAACAAAATTATCATTTCGGCAAATATGCACAGTTCTACAGTTTGGAAAAATTCTTCCTTATTATTAAGCTGAAAATATGTCCAGGGGTGCCAAATTAATTAATGCAACTTGTGGGTTGCTAAATAGCAACATTCGCGACCGAATACCGAATTCCCAGGACGGAGATCTACATGTGCAATAAGCTTGTCAAACGAGTTCAAGTGTTCAGTGTAAACGAACTTTAAAGAAGATCCAATACTTCGATTGAAAATTCGTCTACAGGACAAATAAGAGCTGCAAGAAGATATTGAGTCGAAAATCAGTCCTACGTAGGATAACATCCCGGACACCACACCATTCAAATATATTGAGTGTTGTTGTAGCCTCTTTAAGGCCTATAAGACTTTATTATTTCTATTATTTTCCGCCCAACAGTTGGGAGTTAACCTACACAGAGGAGAGAAGAACAAAAACAGTTTTTTGAACGGTTGAATATTTGTTGGAATCGACTTTAGTCAGTTATTAACAAAGGAAATCCTATGGATTTTATCGGTCCACATCATGACACGTATGTTTTTGCCTACATGGATGAAGAGGCATGAAACTGCCGAACAGTTACTTGACACCTAAATCGTTAGTATTGTTATCTATAGGGTTTTTATAAATTATTGTGATATCTAAGTCGGCCCTGATTTATTCTGCCTGTTTCAGTGTGTGTGTAACTATAATGACAACGTCTAATCATATCCATGGCAACGACGCGACCCTTCAAATATCATAATTATTGTGACAGATATTCATAAATTTCACTGGATTTAAGAAAAAAAGAGTGCTTCGACCCAGGGACGCACGGTTGGAGTTTTAACTCTGCGTTGTCAATTTATATAAATTAAACACGTATACGCGGCGAAGTCATTAAAATTTAGTCTTAAAAAAATAATGAAAACCAAAAATATGTTGCATTTGTATTTTTTGACAAAATGACGAATAATGATGATGATTGGGTTAATTAAAGTACATATCCATCTATTGTCAATTGTTGCTTATTATAAAATATACTTTCATTTATTTATTTATCATATACAAGGTGATTGCGAAATACATGCAAAAAAAAAACGGGAAATAGCTCACAATATGATTATGTCACTGGGTAAAATTCACGGTCCTAAGTAGTAGCAGTGTCTAGAAAAAATTATTTGAAATTAAATGTAAATTATTGTACGCGCCCCTGGACTGTTTTGTGACCTACATAATTACTACAATGAATGGAACAGAGCGAGTCGGATTAAGAACCAAAAAAGTGACTTTATCAGGCACTTTTTTAATCGCAACGTGAAAAACACGAAAAGGGCCAGTTAGCATCGAGCGGTCGGTGAAATCGGTTTATGGTGGAGTTTTCCCATGCAGATTGTGTCGATATGGTAATTGGTGTGGGCGAACATTTGCATCAGTGGTACAGCAACTCCGAGATCATGGTACCTTCAACTTCAAACTCACGATCGTGGCCGTGATAGGACAGAAAGAAGAAGTTGGATTTTCACAGCTTGTAGTGCATCCTACATTAAAAGAATACGGCCACATCCATACCATGTTGACAAAGTAAAGGGTTTGGAGCCCGCTGATTGTCCACGTTTTGTAACTCGCTTTTTGTCCGATCAAACTCCACATGCTCGTCAACAAGTACGATTGCAAGAGACGGTTTTCGATAAATGTGTATCGGTTGGATGAAACAGTTCGTTTGTGGAAATCAACAGTGTCCAGAAATTATCCAAGAGCTTCAACAAGTGAAAGTGGCAGCCGCTACTCCGGTGTTTTTTTACCTATCAACAAACCTCTTGCGACGCTCTGACGCCCGTATTGCTAGTCAAGGACAACATTTTCAACATTTCTTGTAAAAAGGTAGTAGCATTCTAACTTGCTCTTATTTCTGTTCCAATAAACAATGTAAAATCGTTGTGACAAGGACCAAACATCCGTCAGAATCAAAATTACCAATAAATTTTCACACTCACCTTTAACGATGAATGAGTAAATGAATGAACGAATGATAAGCAGCAAAAAGTCGGTTTTACTTTTAATTGAAACTGAAAGTGTTTAGGTCGTTTATATTCGAACGTTTTTCCAACTCCGTTTACAAGGTGGCTCAGTGCCTTCGTATCAAGGGTGGTTCATGGGGGTTTTGCCCCATTCGATTTATTTAATTTATTTTTTCTATATTTCGGCTCTACTAGGGTGCGGGATGCCGTGGTTAAAATATTTGCACTTATTTCGCAGTCACCCTGTAGAAATATCATAATTAATTATTATAATATTGTATAAAAAAATAAATTACAATGTGTAATTTCCCAACTAATGTAACAAGTAAATATTTACAAATACTAGAGCAGTATTTATAACTTATTCGATTTAAAATACACTGACCTGCAAAAAAAATCGGCCACCCTGAACAATTTCGCAAAACCAAACTTTAAAAATTATTAATTTAACTAGTGATCGTTATTTTATTATTAGAGAACTATTCACTATTGACTATTGACTGAAATAAATATCAGTTCTTAAATGAGTAATAAAACGTGTGAAAACAGCATCAATTGTTGTACCTAATTTGGTCATAGAAGAAGTCAAACGAACACATTTTAAATAGTTCGATCTCTCGATCACGCCTATGCTACTCTGGCGCTCCAATATACGTGGCTCCAAAAATAATTCGTCAAGCAACATCTGCACTGATACAAAGTTCCGAGAGTTATCTGTACATCACTTTTGCATCCTGAGGATCGTTGTGGTCCAGATACTCTATGAATTCTGGCAGTGGGTGTAGATTTGTGTTCTCTTAGAGCATTGTGGGGGTCCTAAGAAATCGAATCAGCACCAACCACTCTCTGAGGGGTTTCCTGTACATATTGTTTAAAAGTTTATTTCTCTCTCTTTTTCTGTATAGTACGGCTTTACATGCCAATGTTTAGACCGGTCTCGGTGACCTCGACACTGACACCGACACCGACACCAAGCTCGTAGCTCGAACTCGACATCTTATTCCAGCGCGCGGCGTATAGGTGTTATATATTACGACAAGAAAGGAGTTAAAACTCCAAAATATATGAAAACCCTATATTATTCAATATACACAATTATTAGTACACGCAACCCAAAATACAATTACATAGCAGTCTGATATTTTATATCACTATTTTTTAAATAAAACATAGTCAGCTTTTTGGTTTTAATAATTGGGAAATAAACGTCAACTTTACTTTCTCATTAGTCACTTGTAAGTTAGAAACGTTTTTAAATTGTTCGCATTTTATTGTTTCCTCTGCTAAAAATAAGACGATTTCTTCATCGTAAAACAGTTCAAACAATTCAATTGGTGTCAGAGAATTCTTCTCCGACTTCAACCACTATTACCCTTGTACTGAACGCTATCAATGAAACCAAAGTAACGAACTTTCTTGCTATTGGCAACTTAGTTCAGCCCAAGAATACCCCCTTCGCCTCGTAACATAGCCAACAATAGGAAGAATTTGCATATATATACTTAAGTGAAATCGTTTAGTGGACGAACTTCTTACAAAATATTCTTCGATGGCTATCTTTGAATGAAATCAAATTAAATGTTCTGAATCAATGCGAATATTTGAATGTCAGAAATTTAATAAAAACAAAGCAAAATCTTAATTAAAGTAACTGGATGCAAATACACAACTTATTAGGTTATTACGGACGTGTGGTGGTAAATTTAAAATTATGGCAGTCAACAAGAGAACAAAATTTTAATAAAAAAAAAAAAACTATGCAGCCGCAACGACACCAGAGCGCTATAAGAGTGTTGCGATCGAATTATCTCAATTTCATGCTAGAGCAAAGTAAAATACCCGTAGGGGGCGTTGTGACACAAGCGGAGTTTGGGGCTTCCGGTCGCAGCTGTCCTTCCACCGCGACGGTGATTCTATTCTATCGACAAGCACTGCCGCCCCTCTCTATCGAACGAAGAAACGTGTCGTGCTACCCAGGCCGTTACGGTCGCAAACTCGTGGTTGGAAGTCACGACTGTAAATAAAGTAACAGCGTCACGCATCCCGACCGTCCCTGACTTCTATTTAAGAACTGCAGATGACGCGACCGCCAGCTCGACAAGGAACCGCGCACTCAAGTCCATTTAAATGTTCAATTTCTATAACTCTGACATTAAACTACAACTCCTCGTCTTACTCTATGACCATTCCTCGATGATTTTACTCCAAGGCAGGTATAATAGACACCACACCTTTGTGCCCAAATTACCTGCCGCATATTGTACAATCTCGTAGTAGTGAAATAGCTAATTATACAACCAAATTGCGCGTTTCACGCAGAAACCAGCCTCCCCATGAAGTTTTCAGTTAAAAATGTGTTCCAGTTTCTCCAATAAATCTTATGCTTTTATTTCAGTAAATATTAGAGAACGATATCTGGATAAGTGCCTGAATTACAAGAAATGAAGCAAACATTTAGTTACGCCAGACTCTATCAAGAATTTTAAACAGCAAAAAATTTACTTGATGTTAAATTATGTGGTAGTTCGAGTTATTGATTAAATGAAAAGTGTGTTCACAGATTAGATCACTGTAGACTGGAAGTAAACCTGGTATAACATACAAACAAGGCACAACAGGCACAAATTAAATACGGTCAACATTAAAATAATAATACAAGAATTAATGTTCAAATTCAAGTTGCAAGAAATTATTAAAGCCCTCTCGTTTTCAAGTCCACGAAGGTCAAAATGAATCAGTGTTTTAGATTAGTTTAAATGTCACAAATGAATTATTATAAATCTTTAGTGGGAAGTTATGAAGTGTGGATACTGTAATAACTAAAAAAAACTATCCAGAACTTACATATAGTGATAGGCATAATGTTATTAAAATAAATTGATCCTGAATAAATGAATTTCCTGCCACTTTTTTTAAAGAAATATTTCCATTATTGTAGAAAAAATGTATTAGGGCCATGAATAGTTAAAATGTTAACATGAATTGTGAGTTTATAAACTATAAAAGAAACATAACATCTGTTGAAGAATTTAGTAAAGTTTCACAAAATTTAAGATTCTAATTAACTGGACTTGCACTAATTACCAGGCTTCGGCAGCGCGGAAATGATGCTCATTGCTGTCCGATCGCCAGGTAGTCATCCCTTACAACTTCAGGAATTCATAATAACAATTACTACTTTTTCTCGGTTTTCCTCAGTTCAAGTTCTCCTATATGTTAAAATGTTTTAAAAATTAAAAATGACTGTTCAATATTACAATTGTCGTGATGGTCTTGATCAGATAAACCCTGAATTGCATCAAACGCCACCGATGTTGAGACTGCACAGTCGACCAGCTAAATTTATTCCCTGACGTCGCGCCGTCGTTTTAATATTTGTCTGATTGATTGCCCATCACTTCGGCTTTGCCTAACTTTGCTAATTACACTCGTTGATGGGGCGTTGACGTCGAATGTGATTCATTTTTGTTTAAACAGTAGCCCTTTTGTAAAATTACAAACTAAATTACACGTACCCTTAATTTAAAACTGCAAACTTCACAGGGAGACCTCCCCTGATTCCCTAAATATTAAAATATAAAGCCCACGTTATGTATTAATGATTTTCTTATTTTCCAAATGGGGTATCGCGAGGTTGCATTTTTCTCGGCCCAAAATTTAATTTCTCAAATCGGAACACCACAACGGAAAGGCAACATGATCTACAAAAAACAAGAAGCATGCACGCATATGTTTGCAGAGTATATTGTATATGCAGTGCCATCTATTGAAAATACTGAAGTACTCGTTCAACAGGACTTGTTTTTCCCAAAAAAATTGTTTCCATACGACAACGCTGGTCTTCGTTTGGTTAAAACTTTGTAAATCGTCAAGACAAAAATCATGAGTGTAAATTTTTTGGCAGCTAAGTTCAAATACTGGTAGTCACGAAGAAAAGACTCAGTCCATTGAAGAAGATGAGCTCCAAAATCCATACGACGAAATTAAAAAAAAAACTCTATCCAAAACCTTGGATACATCAAGCATCGCGTACTGCAGTCCTACAATCTGTCTCCAACGATCAGTAAGACTTCCAATAAAGTAGAACGGAGATGCTAGGTTTTCCAAAAAAAAAGGGTTAGTTATTTGGGTTAGCTCCACTTTGCTGGGGAAATTCAAACAGATCAGTATCCAGGGGCCGTCATTATCGATACGTGACTTTTTTGGAGGTGTATTTTTGCAACTGGAGTGGAACAATGAAAGATCACCAACATTAACAACTTTATATTATTCGCTAAATGCATATTATATTCAGGTTTGTTAAAAACCAACAGTTCTTCAAAATGATTTAAAAAATGTTTTCTAATTTGCTATTTACACTGGGTGTATGAACGTCACATGTTAATTTAAGAACATAGCGAAGTAGAATGAGATTAATACTTAACTATATTTATTGTGATATAAAATTATAAATTGTCGGTATAGGAATCAGTCATAACAGCATGTACATGGTATATAATATAATTTAAATTAAAAAATCTATGGCCAAACAGTATCTTCTATCCATTTGATATAATGTGAAACTCTCACATAGACTCCTGGACTACCTGCACAACCTTTCCCAAAGGACGTTACACCCACTATGTCATACATACATGTGATTTTGTCACCAATGTGATAGATTTGTAACGGACCTCCAGAGTCTCCCTGTAATAAAATAAAGTTTATTAATACTAAAAGCGAAGTAGGGGACATGTGTGTACCTTGGGACAAAAAAAATAGCAAGATTAAAAAAATAGTCACAATTGAGGTAGGGTGGGTGGGCGGGCTTTATATTTTGGCTTTTTTTCTTAATATACGTAGTATTCTTGAACACCACGATATTCAAAATCATGTTTTAATTTTTTGTAAAGAAATAAGTATTTTGCAGTTAAGCTTCGCCCCCTTGGTTCACGGGGAATAAAAAAAATCATGACAATTGAGATAGGGCGGGTGGGCGGGCTTACGCTTTTCCTTTATTGTTTTAGTATGTGTAGACTTCTTTTCACAACATGAAACTTAAAACATGTTTAAAATGGAAAATTTGTATAAGGAAATATCTATTCTGCATTTAGGCTCCGCCCCATAATTGCAAAATACATATTTCCTTACAAAAATGTACCATTTTAACCACGTTCTAAGTTTCTTGGTGTGAAAAGATGGCTACGCATATTAAGAAAAGAAAAAGGCAACGTATAAGCCCCGCCCGCCCGCCCTATCTCAATTCTAATGATTTTTTTTTATTCGTCGTAACCCGAGGGGCGGAGCTTAATTGTAAAATTCTTATTTTGCTACGAAAAGTTACCATGTGAAATACGTTCTTAAGTAAAAATTGTGTTATACAAAGAAAACTAAATGTTTTAATTAAAAAAGAAAACCAAAGGAGAAGCCCCACCCATCCGTCTAACTATTTTAACCACGTTTTAAGTTACTTGTTGTGAAAAGCCGGATATGTATATTAAAAAAAAATGTAAGCTCTGCCCACCCGCCTTATCCCAGTTCTAATGATTTTTTTTTGTCGTCAGGTAGCTATTTTTTTTAATTTAATAGGTGCGGAATCTTTACAGTTATATGTGTTATCTTAGCAAGTACTAGCCCTGCCCACCCACCCTTTACTTTCTTAAAGGGTATGTCATCTGCCAAAATCAGTGTTGTCTTATTAAGGACTATAAATTCTTTTGTTAAAACTTTTCTTTTACATTCAAAATTATCTTCTGAAACTTCCATAATTTAGCTATAAAATATTTAACTATTTTCTTTGTAGTTAATTTTATCACTATAAAATCACTTTCTTTTAATTCAACAGATATTTCTCCTTTTATTATGTTTCGAGGTGCACACACACCGTCCCGAGGTACACACTATTCCCCTAATACTTAAAAGTGTATGTTCTTATATAGAAATCAGCACAAAATTTTCGATGATATACCCAAGACAAACAAAGAACAGAAGCAAGAGAGTAAAACAGAGTTAAGACTACAACTGATAAAGGCACAAAAATAAAACAGTAAAATAAGATATATAATATATAGAAAACTCTTTTTAGTATATAAATTATTTACCTGGCAAGTGTCTTTTTCTTCGTCCAGCGAGCCGGCACAAACTTGAATGTCATTTAAGATACCTTTTTTAAGTTTTCTTTGATTCCGGTAGAACGGGTCGCAAGTTTCCCGATCAAAGAGATCAATAATCACTTTAAGTAACTCGTTGCTGCCATCACCACCCCAAGACGTTTGACCCCACCCTGTTGCTATAGATCTTTGAGCTGAAATTTCTGGTGACAAATAAAGGCACGCTGGTCGTGCGTATGGGTTCATTTTAGCTGGTTTTTCTAATTTTAACAATCCTATGTCATGGTAATGAGAATTCGATTTGTATTCAGGATGAGCTATTCGTTCAACTATCTTTAGTTGTTGCCGATGGGTACTTATATCGTTAAGTTTGTTCACTCCAAGTCTTACCCACAAAGCATCTCCTCTGCAAAATGTAAAGTAATAGATTAAATGAAGACAATATTTTTTAAATTAACTAGTTATATTAAATAGTTTCAGATTTACTATTGAGTATAGTAAATTGGAAATTAATAAAGCTTCTTTTAACTTACGCATTTGGATCACTCAGGCAATGTGCAGCTGTTAAGATAAATTTGTTGCTTATGATCGTTCCACCACAGAGCCATTCCACGTCTCCAGGAGTTGGTTCGTATCCAATTGCGGCCTATAACAAAAGAAACAAAGATAGTTCTTTGATAGCTATAAAAAATTGGTTGGAAGTTGTTTCGACAGAGCTTCCCTCGTACCTAAACTACAATGAAATATATCCAGCATTTTCGAATTGAGTTATTTCTAAAGTGTTAATAACATTTTCAAAAACTGATGAAAGTATGGTAGAAAAACGTAAGTTGCTGTTTTTACTTCCCGAGCGTAAGCAAAGGAAGTATTGTAATCGAGTCCGTCGGCCGACTCTCTACTTTTACGTTTTCTCGATCTTTCATGACCCCTAGAAGACGAAGAAATAGGTCTCCCATTTCCGTCTGTCTGTCCGTCTGTCCGTCCGTCTGTCCGTCCGTCTGTCCGTCCGTCTGTCCGTCCGTCTGTCCGTCTGTCCGTCTGTTGTCCCGGATTTTTATTAGACAGATAATCTCCGAAAGTACTCGACCGATTGTTGTGAAATTTTGTACTTATATTAAGAATATCATGTAGATGGTAAAACGCTAACCAAAATTTGTCTAATCATCCCCACCACTAATGCGATGACGTCACTTCAAAATTGTACATAGTAAATGGGTTTTCAATTGTATAAAATAACATAGTCCTACACATGTAGTTTACAACTCTGAATCGACTTTTCACCCGAAACGTCCAGATTTTTGGAAAAAAAATCAAAATTATAAAACAACATTTTGAAATTTAATTTTTAATCTGCTAACCAGAATGCTTTGAAATGTTGCAGATGTTTTAAGGCTATAAAGAGCATCATAAATCTTTAGTCAAAAAATATTTGCTTATCCCCTCCAAAAACTTGATGACGTCAGCTCAAAAGTTTGTGGAATAAATCATATCTAAAATGTACAAAATATGATGAGTCTGTGCTTGTGATCTATCACTCCATTCATATATTTTGGATTTGCATATACAGGGTGACTCAAAAAAATTAATGAATGCGTAAATATATTTTACTGATTTACTCAGAAACTACAAAACCGAATGCTTTGAAATCTTGCAGATGTTTTAAGGTTATAAAGAGCATAATAAATGTTTAGTCAAAATATATTTGCTTATCCCCTCCAAAAAATTGATGACGTCAGCTCGAAAGTTTGCCGAATAAATCCTATCTAAACTGTAAAAATATGATGAGTCTGTACTTGTGATTTATCACTCCATTCATATTTTTTGGATTTGCATATACAGGGTGACTCAAAAAAATTAATGAAATCGTAAATATATTTTATTGATTTAATCAGGAACTACAAAACCGAATGCTCTGAAATCTTGCAGATGTTTTAAGGTCATAAAGAGCATAATAAATGTTTAGTCAAAATATATTTGCTTATCCCCTCCTAAAACTTGATGACGTCAGCTCGAAAGTTTGCCGAATAAATCCTACCTAAACTGTAAAAATATGATCAGTCTGTACTTGTGATCTATCACTCCATTCATATTTTTTGGATTTGCATATACAGAGTGATTCAAGAAAATAAATGAAAGCGTAAATTTATTTTACTGATTTACTCAGGAACTACAAAACCGAATGCTTCGAAATCTTGAAGATATTTTAAAATTATCATAAGCATGGTAAATTTTTGACCAAAATGTATTTGGTCGTCCCCCCTAAAAAATTTATGACGTCACCACAAAATTTTGCTGAATAAATCCTATCTAAAATGTACAAAATATGACGAGTCTGTACTTGTGATTTATCATTCCATTCAAATTTTTTCGATTTGCATATACAGGGTGACTCAAAAAAATTAATGAATGCATAAATTTATTTTATTGATTTAATCAGGAACTACAAAACCGAATGCTTTGAAATCTTGCAGATGTTTTAAGGTTATAAAGAGCATAATAAATTTTTAGTCAAAATATATTTGCTTATCCCCTCCAAAAAATTGATGACGTCAGCTCGAAAGTTTGCTGAATAAATCCTATCTAAACTGTAAAAATATGATGAGTCTGTACTTGTGATTTATCATTCCATTCATATTTTTGGATTTGCATATGCAGGGTGACTCAAAAAAATTAATGAAGGCGTGAATTTATTTTATCGATTTAATCAGGAATTACAAAACCGAATGCTTTGAAATCTTGGGAATATTTTAAAGTTATTATAAGCATGGTAAACTTTTGTTCAAAATGTATTTGTTCATCCCTCCTAAAAAAATTGATGACGTCACCCTTAAATTTTGCTGAATAAATCCTATCTAAAATGCAAAAAATATGAAGAGTTTGTACTTGTGATTTATCATTCCATTCATATTTTTTAGATTTTCTTAAGAGGAGGTTCAAAAAAATTAATGAAGTCAATTTATTTTATTGATTAAATTAAAGGCAACACTTATTATTAGTATTACACCCAAACCAACCCAATTTGGTAGACACAAAATTTGTTAAAGGAAAAACTCGGTTGAAACATAAGGGTAGCACGCTTATTTACATCGACTTTAACATAACAGACGTGTGCGCTGTCTAGGTTTCGCGAATGTGGAATAGACATGTTTATAATCAACCAATTGTGAATTTCACCGTCAAGAATTAAAATAAAACCCAATGTTTTATATAATAAGCGGAAGTCGAACCAATAAAACCGATGGTCGTTTTGTTTACAGTTTCTCTGTTTGACTCTCACGTATGCTGTTACGCTTGTCATCTGAAATTAAGAATGTTTATACATAAACGATTTTCAGTTGCCTTTCATATTACTAGACAGCGGATTTTTGTCGGGCTACGTCACGTTTAATCGGTACTAATTCCATAAATATAATTAACGATTTATTAATCAAACGGCTAAGTAAATGAGAACGGGAATTAACAGCAGAGTGCAACGAAACAGCGTTATTCTAATCTCAAATAAACGAAGTGCAGTCCACAACAGCAATGAATTCGCATCCCGTACGAGCCGTACCGAGTTTGGCCTTGCCTAGCCCGACAGAAATCCGCTCTCTAGATATTAGACACCGACGCCGTATACGTGAGTAAATTGTTTCGTTATTTTATTGATTATAAGAAATCAATATTCAAAACGACCCAATTCATTTTCCCGAAAATTTGGGAATACAATAATTTTATTCTTAGTATTACACTACATCTATCCCAACTGATATACGTGTCCTTGCAAAAATGTTGATGACAATTTTTTTTTAAATTCCCACTACAAAAATGTAATGAGAAAAAAAAACACAATAGGCATGCACTCGTCAAGTTTCCGACAGCGAGCGAAGTACTGTCTAAACTCTTTAGACCAATTTTTTAACATCTAATTTGCTCACCATGTGGGGAAATTCTTTTCGTCCAGCTGGTTCTCCACCTACAATCAGTTTGACTACTTTATGGCCACATTCGTTTCTTGTGACTTCCGATACATTAATTAATGCAATTGGTGGTACTTTTGATTCATACACGTAGCGAGAGTACTCTCTACATCCTGAAATAAGAAATGCACAAGTGGTTTTAAATTCAGTCTATTAACGAATTATTGTTTGTAAAAATTGATAAGTAAATACTTCATCTTACAAAAATGACAAAATATAATATATTTGTATTAAAATATTTTACAATTAGCGAGTACCAATGTTCTTATTCCTATGTATGTACCTACTTCTTTTACTCATATCGCCTGGTTTTCGCCGTGGTGGAGTTGTTTCTTCTACTGTGGTTGTTTCGGGTGTCACTGTCTGACTTTCTGGGCAACATACTATTGGCTGTGTTCCTTGAAACCCACATGTTTGAGGAAAGCGGTTTTTTCGTAGTTCCTCTTGAGCTTTTGGACAATCAGTCAACAATTTGCAGACTTCCCCCGATCCAGTTGACTGCAAGGTGCATACATCACCTAAAAACATAAATAGATACGGTTTTCTATAATATAGATTTGTTACTTCCCGAGCGTAAGCAATGCGTAAATTTATTTTATTGATTTTAAAAATATGTTTGTCACAATTCGATTAGGTACTTATTTTACAAACTACACATGTGTAAGATAAGATTCGTGGATCAAGGTAATTAGCTAATTAAAAACATACAATGAGTTGCTCGACTTCAATTGTAACAAAGAACTCTCCATAATTGCAATCATGGTTTTACACATAATGGACTTTACCTTCAATTGTTTTCTAATTGTGTATTCATTTTTACTTCCCAAAGGTAGTGAATATATAACTTTATTTTTTTATAGTTCCATGTAACAAAATCGGAGATTTTTTTGCGACTTAATTTGTCTTATCGATTTATCATATATTAAATCTTTTCTCACCGAAATTTCGAATTTCATTACAGAAACTGAAGCAAAAAAGTTAATACATCATCTTTTAACATAAATATAATTAATCTTGCTTATTTTTGTTTCGTAGTTAACTCTTTATGGTCTAATATCGGAGTTAAAAAACAAATATTTTGAAAAAGAAGAGAGTGGAAATTCGAATAAATGACAATTTTAGAACCAGTTATGTATTTGGAAATTACGTTCTAACTAGTCCTGAGATTGTTTACATACAGCACTTTCTAGGAGATTTCGTGAGATTCACTTAGTCAGGACTCCTCCTTTGTTTATCAAGTTATAAATAAGGTTTCTGAATGCTTATACTTAAGTTTTACATTATAACGTTGTCCCACTCTGGAAAAAGGACCGTGGAAAGTGCGGTAGAATTCATAATATGGTGGACTGAGGGACGACGGGATTAAAATTTTTTCCCCTTTGATAGTTATCATCATATCATCATCACTAGAGAGCGGATTTTATGAAATTTGCATATCCGTTATTTTTTGCATATAAGGCTTAATATTTAATATGTGAACGAATCATGCTAATTAAAAATTAATAGAGCTATAAAAAAATTGCATATTTGCATATATGTATTTGCTTTCTGCTGCATATTTCACGGAACGGGTGCATATTTTGCATTTTTATCAATTTTTGTGCTAATTTGAAAAAAAAATCATTGTCATTCTATCGACATTTATCTAGAATGACGAAATTTTATGAATCATATTGCAAATATTGTCCTGAGCTTCAAATAACTACGAAAGGTTTGGGTTTGATGGTAGTTTAGAGACACCACTGGGTGTTAAGCCATCCTTCCAGGTAAATTCGCGGCGTAATTATTTTGGGAAATACGGTTCATTCCCAATATTTTTGTTCGTTAGTTAAGTGTATTAATGGTACGTTTAGTGGTGGTCGAAGGGACGTTATCCTATTATTTTTCATCGTGAGTTTGTATTGAAAGCATTTAAAAGGATACAATATGTCGAAAATAAATCAAATTTATTTATGGATTAAACCTTTTCCTGAACTTATTCTTCAAGAACGAACTGTCTTTTGTCGCGCCTGCCCTAAACCCGTAAGTATTTTTACATCCGTGGACGTAGTACGCAATTTTTCTATTTACAAATACATATATTTTAGAATTACCGGAAAAACTTTTTGTCAAAATATTTCGAAAAATATTTAAAAATAAATTGTTACCAAAATAGTAATTAAATAGTGGATTACTACTATTTTTTAATTTCTTCTGTTTATATTTATTTTTTATACACTTTGCAATGTGATTTATGTATTTTTTGTAATAAAACGTAAGCTCGGGAAACCTGTTTTTGTATTTTATAAATAAATTTAGTTCGCTTATTAAGCGTTTTTTTTAATTTTTGGAGCATATGCAACTGCATTTCTCTGCATATATTAAGAAAGTTACTGCATATTTGCATAAAATTGGTGCATATCATATGATCATATTTCTCAAAATTTTGCTACATATTTTCCGCTCTCTAATCATCACATCACCGAGACTTATTTTCTCGCGACGTTGGAAATTGTATCACCGAGACGCATATTTCTCGCAACGCTGGATGCATGTTGTGTTTATTTATCATGTGTTTTGTTTGGGATAAGTTGATCAATGTTTCCGTCATATAAATTGTCTGATATTCAATCTTAATCTCAGGTGAGAATTATTTGCTGTTTAAAATTTCACGAGAGTGTATGGCGAATTTAAATGTTTTTTTTTTTTAACTTTAACACTTGTTTAGTTGTAGTTTAATATCAGAGTTACAGAAAGTGAACATTTAAATGGAATTGAGGTAAATAACGCAGAAACACGTGGCGGAAGCGGCGTGCGCGGTTCCTTGTCGAGCTGGCGGTCGCGCCATCTGCACGAAAGATGTAGGCCTTGAATATAAGTTAGGGAAGCGGTCGCTGTCAGCTTATCTATAGCCGTGATTTCCAACCACGAGTTTGCGACTGTAACGGCCTGTTAGCTCGGCACGTTTCTTCGTTGGATAGATAGATTAATAGATTGTCGTTGTCAGAATTATTCGATTATGATACTAAAAATTTTATATTTTTCTTTGTTCAGCCTTATTTAGTTTATTGTTTTTCCTGATGGTGCACTAATTATAAAATAGACTGTGATTTATGGGAAAGAGTTCAGAAAAAATTTCTTCGCTTACTAGAATTTAAACTTGATCGAATTTAGGGTGATTACACTTGGGTAAGGTATAATTTTCATATTAATTCACTTGAAACTCATCACATAATTTGCGCGGTTTCATTTCTTCGATGATTCATTAATTGTGATATAGATAATGATTACTTATTAGAAAAATTGTTGAACGAGGGAGGAGCGGAAATGTATTCTGTGGATATTTATTACCCCATTTTGGAATTTCCATATGAGAGATTTCGTAAAACTGATTATTATTATTACGAAGATATTGAATACAACATTCATAGATTGGAAAACCCCTTGACGGTTTTTATCGCCTCTAAAAACGGACAAACAAGATACTTAGAGCGACAATTCTTTAATTTTGCATCTTTTCTTGTCATACATTCATTAGTAGGAGTTGCCAGTTTATCTGTTTATTAGATTTTAAGAACGAAATACGATAGATAAGGCAACAATGTGATCTCATTGGTCTTTTGTAATCAAAGGTTATTCTTACTGTGTAAAATAAGCGCGGTCATGGTCACTGCATGTTCTGGGGACCAGAACTCAAATGTGTAAATATTACTTATTTCGTTCATAAGAATCACGTTTACGTTGCCGATAATGACTTATCGTCTTATTTTTAGTGTCAATTGTGTAGTAGCAAATTATTATTCTTACCGACAAATCGTTGACCGGAGACAGCGCCCAGCAAGAATATCGTAAAAACACTTAACACAAAACTCATGTTTACCACAGTGGACATCGGCGCGAACTAACTAGAGATTTAATGACTGCTTTGAATTTGCAGAAGTAGTTTGAGTGGGAAAACACTGTAAGCGATCCATCACTATATATATGAAAGAAGTAAATAATTCTTAGAATACAGATGACACTCACGGAGTGATAACAAGCTAATTTGTTTAAAATGTATGCCATTGCAATCGTAACAAATAGTACTTTCATTGATTACGGTGTGCTGTGCTAAAACCAGTTTTTGTCTAGCTCTTCATTGGGAGTGTACAGGTGTCTTAATCATCACTTAGCTCAATTTGTTTTGTAGGTTACAAATTTTCAGTTTTGTAAATAAAAACCACTAATTACCTAATATTCCGGAGAATTTTATAATAATTAAACTACTTAATTAGATAACTTAGCATCCAAAAATTGGTTTGAAAGCATTGTGTTTCTGTTTCAACGTTCTTGTTAGTTTTTAGTTCCCTAACAACGTAATTGTATATTTTTATCACGTATTGTACAGGGTCATTATAAATGTTTTTTACATTGCAAGTGGCTTCGATCTATTTATTTGTCGCTTTCCACTTTTGTTTAAGCCACCTACAATGAACAAAAATTTATAACATCACGAGTGTTTCACCTAGTATTCAAATTCCCGCTCCACTGGCTTCATAATTTTTTCATATATAATATAACAAGTACTAGTAGTCCGATTTTTCCCACAAAATTTGTGAATTTGCAGAAAAAATCAGATCACGAGTTATATTCGGCTTGACAATCCAAAGAGAAAATTTTTATTTACTTTTTACGGACAATAATTCACATAATTTATAGACAGTGTTGGGGATAGATATTTTTAAAAATATCTAGATATAGAGTAGAGTCTTCATTGCACAGAAGCGGGTAATTCGGATTATTGCTGGGGCTGTTAGTACTTTCGGCTATAAAAAACTGTTTAGGAAGTATCAAATTATGACACTTCCAAGTATATATGTATTTATGAATTATGTGTGTTCACGTTTCATAGGAGAAAATTTCATCGTCACATGAACACTATGGTTTAAATATTGTCATAATTTCTACATTGATGGCATTAGGAATTAATGCACATCTGATAGAACCTAGAATACACAATCTGCTACTTGAGTATATAAAATATGTGACAACAACTCAGCATTCCAAAGATTGGCAAAACAATATTTGATATCTGAATGTTCTTACACAGCTGATGAGTATTTTGGAATTGTGCATTAGTAGAGTTATTCGAAATCCGTATGTTACCCGCTATTTCACTTGCTCCGCTGCGTGATTTTTTCTTTCATGTCCTCTTCGTACTGATTTTTTGTGTGTTTTTTTATTGTATTGATGAGGTCATCTTTAGTGTTATGTCTTATTTTGCTCAATTTTTTGTTTTTGACGTCTTTATACAATTTCTTTTGTCCCAAAAAAGAAATAAAGCTTGTTATTATTATACTTTAAAAGTCAAAGCCAACTCGATGCTTTTTTCAATTGAATACCCAATATGTTACGATACATAAAAATTTGTTGTAACTACACGCATTTGTTGCTTTATTTTGACTAAAATTGAAAACGAGTACAATCTTAATTTCTAGCGAGCCACGTTTTGACATAAAAATTGACTTTGTCATGTTTTTCTCTTGACTCAAGCAGCCCCCCACACAACGATTTTAAATGTCAAGGGAAGTCGATATGACCCCTCATTTGAAAGATATTTTGATGCTTTGTACGACTGCATAAATTATTTTGATGTTTATTGTTTGTGATTGTTGAAATTTTAAATACAATATTATTATTAACCACACTATCGTATAAAAAATGCAGTTTGGATGAATGTAAAATATGTCGAACGAGCATGATTTGGCCATCGTTTTTACAAACAAAATATTTAATTTACTTTTAGGGTCTATCATTACGTTTGTTATAACAACTGATTCATAAAAGTTTATACTTTTAATATTTAATTGTCCGTGGTTATTAAATAAGTATATAATAAATCTATTAATTGATTACATCCCTGCTGCTTCTTGGACTTCAAGTTGGGAATATTTCTCAGGAAATTCATTTTGCAGGCTGATTCTGAATAAATTCGCTCATCGTTGTTCAGTTTATTAATTTTTTTGAGTCAATTAGAATTGTTTGAAATTTGGCCAATGACATTCACCAAAAAATTTTTTCAGTGAAAAAACATTCTTCTGTCAGATAACAACACTGTTTTTCAGCGAAAAAAATTATGTCAAATTAATTTGTCAAACTTGTAAAATGAACTTTAATAAAAAATGATAATGAAACATACAAAATTACATCTTAAACTGAAATTACTGATTACTGATTAGAATAATAACAATTAAAGGTACAATTATTATAAATATTATTTTCCTTTTGATCTTTTTTTTTCTCAATGATTTTATTGCCACTTTCACAACTGTAATATCTTGTTTAAATGTTGTTATAATTTTATTGTGGTGAGAACTGTCTAGCTGCAAATAAGGACGGATAGATCCTGCCGAAGAGTGTCCTGTAATTTTTATTAATTGCTGTTCGCCAATTCCAGCTTTTGCAAGTTGTTAGCCTTCAGTACTTATACATCTTTAAATATAATCCTGAGGGGTAATAAATCTAAGTCATGGAAAGATGGTATTTTAAAAACCATAAACCACAATTCACTATTCGCTGCGTTTCACGCTTGTCGGGGCAATGCATTTTATCTGTGTACGTGAGCAACCCGAGTCCGGTAGGCCCGCTGGTTGTATTTGTGTTAGTAAATAAGAGTAATTTTAATAGTAAAAATATTTGTTTAAGGTATGTTATTATTTTTAGAAAATAATAATTGCGTGTTACATAATGATTATTTTTTTCAATTAGCACAAATTAGTTCTGTAATCGACTAATCGAATGTTCAATACATACATTTCTCTCGCATAAATCGCATATTTGTTACTGTTTTATACCTTTATTTTTCAGACAAATGTAGCATCTTTTCCTGTTGCCACACGTGTCATTTCTTCACTTTTTCATTGTTGGGTCTAACGCTAGGCGGGCTTGGCAGGTCCGTTTTGCCCTAGAATGTGCCGATTATGTTTAAGTGTAAATCTTGGACAATAAAATTAATATTTTTACAACCCTCGGTAGAATAATTTATCGTGATATATTCTCAGAAATCGTGAAGCGAGATTAAAATAAAATGAGTTTCAACAAAAATCTGAAAATTTAAAGTTGCACTCTGATGATTTCGGCCTGCCAGGCAGCCTTAAATCCTATAAGGGGTTTAAATACCTTTCTATGAAATTGTACTTATTTTGCCTTATTAAACGGAACCAGCAATTCTTCCTAAAATGTATATACCTGCTGCACCGGGATAGACGATTCACTGGTCAACAGCTAAGCTCTAACTTTTAAAATATTAGTCAATTATTATTTAATTAACAATTTTAAATAATATTATAAACGGCTAAACCAAAACTTAGCTCTCATTTAAAAGTAATCTTAAAATATTATCCTTTGAAAAATACAAAAATCGTACTATTAAGTAATAGGAAATTTTCTATAAGGTGTATTTTTTGTTGTCAAATCATATAAAAAATTTGAAATTAACTTATCCTTAAAGTGCATTTTATGCATTCGCACCTTGATTTTTTCTCCAAAAATTGTGACGACGTGAGTGATGAACATGGAGAACGCTTCCATCTGGGCATTTTGTGGATAGCAAAAGGTTACCAAGATCGATGGAACACCGAAATCCTCGCAGAATACTGCGGGACCATCAAGCGAGAGATCTCCCATGAAATCTATAGGAGGCAACCGAAAAAACCTCGGCCTTAGCTGTTTCTTTTGTTTCTTTCGTTTTTTAAACTGCAATCGTTGTTTTTTTATTAATCATAGTTGTTCTTTTGTTAATACATCACTTTTTGCCGTTAAAAATTAAATTGATTTACCTGATTTTGTGTTTCTAACATCAAATATGCATTTTTTTTTAATCGAGCTAAGTTATAAGATTCATGCTCTTTGTTACAAACACAAACATTACAATTATGTCAAAGTTCGAGAGAAAAAATTAAATTTTGTTGACCAGTCAGGTATATACAGGACATGGTCATAAAAACATCATAAGCCGATATTGAAGAATAATAATAATTTATGACAGGTTGCCGACAACAGACCTTCAGCACAGAATAATCATTTCCCGTATTCTTTTGAAATATTAATTTTAATGCTGGAGATAATTATTATAAGTGTCCGGTTTTGTCCGGATTTTTAAAATTTTATGCCCTAGGATTAACTTTTAGAATATGGTAACCCTAACCAACACAAAACTCATGTTTCTCACACAGGACACCAGGCAGAACTAACACGAGATTCAAGATTGCTTTGAATACAAGTAAACAATTTGAGTGGGAAAACTATTTAGTAACCCATCAGTATGAAAATCAAGAAAATAAACAATTCTTGGAACAGGTGTAGTCATAACAGTGGCGATACTGTAGACAGAACTGACCCGTTTAAAATGGACCTCATTGCATATAGTAAACTACTGTGCATCAGAACTAGTTTTTGCCGCGTCCTTCGCTGCAAGTGTATGGGTTTTTGATGTACATTGTTTTGTGTTATTATAAATCATAAATTTTTCATTTTTGCGTTTTTAAATAAAATCATTAGTTAATGTAGTTGGGAAGTCCATAATAAATAACCATAAATTAACACTAACCGGTGGCCGTTAGCTTTAGAGCGGTATTTTTTCACAAGGCTATGTATATCGTTTGTTTATACCTACAGGTTTTCTGTTTATACCCATTTCACAAGTTTTGTGATGCGTTATATAAGGGTGTTTCTCTTGAAACTCAAACTATTCCCTTAGCGCTGTTATAATTTTTTTGTTCAATAATGTACGTTAGAGACTGTTATTTGAATTGATATTCTTGAATATACTAAATTTTGAAAAAAGGGGTGTTAGTCATGAGAAAATTACTTCTGAAAATTATTTTTACGCAACCCAAAATACTAAGACCGTAGACTACTTGATATTAAGTGAATTTTTTGTTAAGGTACGAAAAAAATTTTTGGAAAAAATTCAAAGATATGAAAAGATTT